GACTATTCCAAGAGTTGAGCCTAAACTTATTTATAAAATAGGCACTTTTGAAAAACTTGGTTTAAAACATATTGTTAAAACCACTGAATCCTCTATTCCTCTTCATAAAGATGAAATGATGATACGTCTTCTAAATGAAAAAGATATTATGCCTTATTTAAAAACTCAAAGTTTATAGAATTTTAAAAAAAAATTAATCTGTGGAGAGAGAAATATTTTATTATTATTTCTAAGAGGTTGAATTATTAATATTATTTACTATAAATTATTTTAAAAGGCATATTTGATTATAAATTTATAGAATATAATGGATGTTAAAATCTCTAAAATAAAGAATTTGTTGGAGTTAGATGTAATTTTTTTTTTTTAGAAATTATGACTTTTTTGGTTGTCTATTTTAAAAAAATTATAGAAAATCTGTTGGAGATTCTCTAAAACTCTTTATCTTGTAAGGTAATTGAACCGGTATAGTAGTCTTTGGCCTCTTAGGATGTCAGGGGTTCAAACCTCACCAAAGGTGAGGAGGGTGTGTGAGTTTATTTGTTACATTTGTCGTATATAATTATTATATACTTCAAAAAAAATTGAACCGGTAAGCATTTACCAACCTCTAAATCAAAAAGGACTGAACTTGTAATTAAGGTATACTTGCGTACCAATTGTGCAATATACGAAACTTATATATGGATCTCATGTCTATAAAACCAACCCGTTTTTTATTGTTTTATACATCAAGAACATGTCTCTTCTATTCATCGCCGCATGCTCTTAGTACAAATGGAGACCGAAGATGAATTTAATCATATTTTTGTTTCTTCTATTCATTGTTCATTTATTCGAAGCTATCGATAGCCATGAATCATGGAACGATAGGTAACGCTTTCAACGATGATTGTTTTGTTTTTGTTTTTTGAATCATTTTTGAAATTGAAATTACGATCAAATTTTTGGTTGACCGTTGATATGATGGCTGCAATGTATTAGCTCTATCTGATCTCTCTAGATTTAATACTGTGATGAAATCGAGTTTTTTTAAGCTTTTTAGATATGAAAATTTGGTTGTTGATTGAACTGGAGAATGAAGTGATGATCAATAGATTCCCTATTGGTTTGATTGGCCAGAATGATGGCGAAATTCGTATTAGTCTATCTGATCATTCTTCTTTCAAATCTGATTTTATTTACTTTTTTYTGGTATCGTTTCAGTATTTTGAACATCTTGATGGAAGATTATTGAGCTCAACAGTTTTGTTAGGGTTTATGTTCCTTTAATTGTAAGGCGTTTTATGATCTGTTTTTGAATTTAGATGTGATTTCTCCCGAACTAAAGGAAAACTTAGAAATTGGAATAGAATATTTTCACTATGTATTAGCTCTATCTGATCTTTCTCGATTTCATATTGGTGATGAGATTGAGTTTTTATTTTAAAGCTTTTAGATATGAAGATTTGTTTGTTGATTGAAGCGGAGGATGAGGTCTCGATTTCATAGTTGTATTCTAAGCCTGGGAAGTAACTATGGAAATAAGTCTGAACCAGACCAATTCAAAGTTACGTTGCAAGTCTGGGAAATAACCAATACCTGATGTAGTTCGATGTAGTTCAGACTTCACAGTTCAGACTTCATTTGAATTCCTATATTCAGACTTACAAGTCTGAAAGACACTTAAGAGTTAAATTCAGACTTGCAACTTTGAATTTCCCAAACTTTTATGTTTGAAAAAGTCATTAGAGATCAGACTTATAAGTCTGAGGAATGGAAATCCAGACTTTTGCTTATTTAAGTTTTAAAAAAAAAATCCCTTTTCATACAGAAATCAGTTATGTTTACATGGACGGATGTCAATTAAATAGGCCCATTTGAACCAGTAATGTAAATTGTGTCTACATACATGTTTAGGCGGGAAATTCTTATAACCGTCGCACAATAAGACGACACGTGGCTTCCAAGTTACTTATTTATTAGATTTATAGATTAATATTTTTTTAAAGGAAAAAATGTTTTTCAAAATAAAAAATTTGTTAAAGTTAAATGTAATTTTATTTTAAAGAAAAACAAACAATTTTTTTAGAAGTAAAAAAACAAATTTGAAAAAAAAAACAATTTTATTCATTTTGTTTTCATGCTTGAAAGCCACCTTAGCATGGGGATGGGGTCAGCATCACCCTCATGATTTTTACCCATTTTATCCTCCATCTCCCCTCCGTATTTCTTCTATCAAGCCATCGCCTTCGCACAACATCAAACTCCTGTCAATTTCTTTGGCCTGCAGCACTCGCTCGCTCTGCATTTTGCAATTTCAAGTACGAAAACTTATCTCTTAAATGATTTGGCTTCTTTTACCAAATATTGATTTATAATTGCATTTTGCAATTGAGGATGTGTGTGTGTCTATTTTTTGTATCTTTTTTGAGTAACTGTCGGTTTCCGGGCCAGCTTACGCACCAACTAATCCCCCAGGCAACCATGAATGGCCTGGAGTCATTGCAGGAGAACCTCCATGGCCGCAAGGGCTTTGGCAACGCCTGGATTCAAACCCCGGGTGGAGGAGATATTCCACTACATCCCCCTAGGCTTTACCAATGCGCCACAACCCAAGTGGTTTGTGTCTATTTATTCATCATAGTCTAAAATGGGATGATACGTTTGCTTTAATCTTCTGGAAAATGGAACTTTATTTGAAAAGCAATCATCTTTAAAGTGAGCAGCTCTTTCTATTTATGATTTGTCATTCTTTGAGTGATTTTACATATAGGGGAATAAGGACGTCTTGTTAGGGTTTGCTTTTTTGTGGGTAACAAGGAGTTTTAATCTTAGCCTCTGGTTGGAATTCATGCTTCTGTTCAACTTGATCTGGGAAAGAAAGGCTGGATTGTGGTTTTTCTTTTGTTGTCTGATAGCTATTAAAAGTTGTGATTTCAGTTTTACCAATTTCTGTGTTAATTTTCTAATCTTTCCCAGTTTTTAGATCTATATGAATCCAAGTTGATTTAAAGTTCATTGAAGCAAAAGGATCAATCTTATTTTGTGCTTATTCACACTTAGCTACAGTCTCTACTAGGCACATTACTACCTAAGAACAACATGAAGGAAGCAATGAAGTAGAAATCGATGAAACACAATCAATGGAGTTCTCAAGAGAATGAATATACGGCTAATTTGTGTGATCAGATCGCCAATTAATTGTTGTTCTATGCTTCAAATTAGGATTTGTTGACAAATTATTATGTTCATGATCAATTTATTTTATGAAAATTGCTATTTTTTGTCATTCGACACCTATTCACACATAACGTTTGGTAAACAATTGCATTATGTTTAACACTTAATCTACAATACTTGGTAAACAGTTGTTCTCCGGACAACACTTACTCCAGACAGGTCTGCTCACTTTTATCAGACCTCTTGCTAAAATTCTGCACAAGAGATCCCATTCCTCTTCAGAAGCAACAATGGGGACAAAGCTTCTTCATCCTCAAATTCCTTCCCACGTGCTTCCTTCTTCAATACCAACGTTACCAAAGATGATCAGAAGTCAAACTCAAAAGTCACCCTCAACAAATCACCCAATCCAAAGTAATTTTACCGTACATAGATCCAATTTCGCCATTAAAGTTACAGAATCAAGCTCTAGCCTAGTAGGCKACCAAGAAGAAGAAGAAGGAATAGCACCAGATGAGTCTCCATTAGATTATTCAACAATTGCTCGAGTCAAAACAGACATTAATAAGGCAACGCAAGGTTAGCAGTTGCATGATTCGATTTCTTAATTGGAAATGGGATTGAAGTAAGGTTTTTCTTTGAATTCGTATGAAAGGAATCAATCGAGGCATTTTTGGAATCCCAAGCGAAAAGAAATCCGAAATTGAAGATATGGTGAAGGTGCTGGAGTCTCTGAATCCAAATCCACACCCAACAGTTGACCTTGATAAGGTGAGATCATTTAACTCTCATAGCCATCATTCTTTTCATTCAAGTTTTGATTAAATTTTAGCACAATTATATGGAATTGGTAGTTGGGTGGATGCTGGAAGCTGATATATAGTACAATAACAATCCTGGGATCCAAAAGAACGAAATTGGGATTGCGAGATTTTATCAGTTTGGGAGATTTCTTGCAAGTTATTGATGTTGCTAAGGTACTTCTTGTGATCTTACTTGATCATGCATGTTCTCTACAACCACTTATCTTCATTATCTTCTTTCTTTGTTCATTATGCATTTTTTAAATTCTTTTTTTGGGTGAATATTCCGTTATTTCATTGGTCATCTGGTAACATTTACTTGACATGGTTCAACAAGATTGTCAAATACTCTTGGGGGGGATTTGGTCTGATGGAATGTTTTTCAGGGATTTGGATTTCATAGAAGGATTTGGAATCTTTGGTGCGTTTGACTCGTAGGATTTGGAATGGATTTGAAAATTAATGTTTTATTTGGTGTTTGTAGTGTAATTTTATGTTATGTCTTTTGCAACAAAAATATTGATTGACATTATCTGATGGTAAAAATGGAGGGGAAAGCAGTTAATGTGATCATGTTCAATGTGAGAGGGCTGAACTTGTTCAGTGGGAAGCTTGTAATTGAGGCCTCCTTCAAGATTTCTTCTAAATCAGTTAAGCCTCTCTATATATACCTCCCTTCCTTCCTCTTATTTTCATGGAAATATATTTGCAACAAATATGTTGGATTATAATTTCTCACACGAGTGTCTTTAACAGAGAGTTGCCATTAGTTACGACACCTCAACTATCGTCCCTGATCAGGTATTACGTATTTTCCTATATGATTTCGCATTGGGTTTCACTTGTTACATGATCTGTTTTAATGCGGCGTTGTTATGTCAACAGTTGATGAACATGTTCCGTAAAAACTATGACATTCTTCTCAGAATCTTCAATCCTGATGGGTGGTTAGAGATAACGTATCCTTTTTAACCTCTCGTATTTTTTATATATATTTAATCCATAATAGCATCCTTATGTTTTATTTGGAAGAGGAATTGCCCTTAATTTCATGGCAACAGATATGTGGATGAAACCCTTAGAATAGGAAGGGATGATAAAGGCAACATCTTCATATTGGAGAGATCAAAGGAGACCAATACCTAACTCTTGCTTTCATATTCATTTTCGATGCAATGAAGATGTTCATAAATCTGTAATTGTTTTTATTGTTTTCATGTGAAGAAACAAATGTTTAGTGATTATTACTATGCTTACATACCCGGCTCAAATTATTGGAAAACAATCGAATCGAGGGTCTATTTTCTCTGACTTGACTCAGCTTGACCTACTTGACTCAACGGTTAGAGAAATCTCTTGCTATGATTACGGGTTTATGGGTATGGTAATTCTTTCTTAATCTTCAGTAAAAAAACATCTGTAACTATCTAAATGAATTAGATTCATAAAAGATACTTAAAGATCAAATCTTTGTTATGGAGTAAGTTTCTTTCTGGTATACTTGTACAATCTTCTGGCTTATCTTCTTGTTTGTCTTTGATACATACAGCTGGAAAACTCCCTAAGCACAATGATGTTTCATGAAGGGGTAACTTTAATTAAATGCTTGGTTCTCCAAGTTCTGTATAATAAAGTTGTCTTTGTGGACTGTACAGATTGAGAAGGTTTTTGTTTTGGAGGTTTTTTGTCATAGATGAAGTGAACTTGTCTTTTATTTGAGAGGGGTAGGTTTGACTAAAAACTTGGCTTTTTACATAAAGCTTTCTGAATAATCTATATTCATTAAGCCACCACCAAGGAGTGTGAGAGAGGTTAACCATGTTAAGGAGATTGTTAAGTGGGACACATGATTACTTTCTTAAGACCTTCGGTTCTACTGCTATTAGCATTAGCCAACTCGTATCTTAGGTCACTTCTCATTTGCCTTTCACCAATATTTTCACATTATTTTGAATTTTGAAACATATTGTGGTTTTAGAATGTGCTAATTGTGTTTGTGGAAACACGATCTATATAAGGGTAGGTTCTGTTGAGAACCTAAAATTGATTAGGAACTCGGGAGCCGTTCATAGCGTGACAAATGACATATTCATCATAAATATGGACAGGTTATTCATCATAAATATGTTATTAATGATGAATATTCATCCTGAAGATGGACACACGGCTCTGGGTGACAGTTCCTAGAATTTTGGGTTTCTAATTTAACCTCCCTCTACATATATAGGGTAAGGTTCATGGGAAAGTTGAAAAAAATAAAAAACTGAGGAACATTCTAATAACCATTCATATGTATAGTATATACATGTGCATTCATGTAATTTGTTTGGTATGCACACATTCATACAAGTAATTTGTCTACTATGCACACGTGCATAAGAACCATGAAAATCATTAGTTACTTGTATGTACATGTGCATAACATAAAGATGAATGGTTATCAGGGTGTTTTTCAATTTCTTTCATTTTTCTAGGTTTTCCTCTTTTTGGGTTTCTCAAATGCTACAACAATTATCTGTTATAAGTTGTCTTTTTTATCTCATTTAAATCTTACACCTTACTTCTCTTTATATTATGTTAATCATATAATTTCTTCAAATTCGTCATCTGAAATTTATTTTTCACCTTGAGATCTTGCAACTTAAGATGCCTAAACCTGTGGAACACTCTACTTAATTTGTACTACTTTATTGTTTCATTATTTGAAAAGGAAATAGCGTTAACACATGTATACTTGCCACTTAGTGTTGTAGAGATACAATATCTAGCACATCACATTTTAACAAGAAAAGTAATGAACATATGGGCAAAAAAAGTTGATTACCGACAACACAAACAGCCCCACATGGAACCAGCCTCCAAGGACACCAAT